TTCCATGGTTATGTATGCTGATGGTTCATACGGTCGGCATCCTATAATGAATGGAGCAGACCTGAATTTCCGACACTACTGCATTCTTCCACATTTGGAACTAGCAGATGAATGGGGTCGTTAGCTCGTGCCGTGGCACAATCAAGTAAGATTTCCACATGAATGGTTGCACTTTTTGTTTGCGAGTAGCTTCCTTTATGAAAATATGCTGCGATATCTTGAATATCGTGCCAACTGAAATGTAAGGCGGCCTTCGTGCAGCACATTCAGTTGGAGAATAGCAGAAACGAGTGATTCAGTTGAGTCTCTCGTGAAAACCAAATTGATTTGCAAATGAGTGTATTTGTCGTAATCCAGCATGTGTTTATGAGTGAGATTCGGGATGTCAGTTAAACCACACATTGCTGTCAGTTTAGTATAATCGTAGTTTTCATGTTTCGGATGCTAGATCAGCTTCTTGAACGGGTTTGCTTACTCGGCTGCTGCGATGATTACCTCCCAGCGCAGCCTTTTGACCCAGTTTGGATGTCCGTCACATTTGTCTGCTTCTTTATGAAACATAATACCTACTTTCGTCGCTTTCGAAGCTGATTATCAGCAAACTGCACTTATATGCAGTGGCTGGTCCGTTACAAATGTAAGCTTACTTGAGACCTCAGCCTTTACTTGCATCGGAATTTTTTCACACAACTTACTGGTGACCTGTGATGGCCACCGGCGGTGTGAGACTTGTATGTAGTAACTTGTATGTAACTTGTATGTAACTTGTATGTAGTAACTAAGTGTTCCCTCTTCATAGAACACCTAAGACGAAGACTCATGGCTTAAAAAGCTCCAAAGATTCCGTAGTCCCCATAATAGTTATTTTAAGTGGTTTCACTCAAATCGGTATCCAATGTAGACTTTTCCATTTTTGTGCGTCCTACCTGTGAGGAACAAGAGCGTTCGTTTCTGCATAATGTGATCACCTAATAGTGTAGGTCAGCGGAGCCGAGTGTACAAATACCCTGAGGTATTCTTGGCGTTAAGTAGGGTGAATTGAAAAGTCAGCGATGTACTTATTCTGTGTGCGGCCATCTCAGTCCCCGCAAAACGCGCATAATCACAAAACTTTGTGATTCTATAAGTTGTCAAGCTCACAGTGCGCAGAGGAAGTTAACCAGGTAGACGAGCTACATTGTGTCCTCATGTCCTGATTTGTTTTTAGAGAGTGACCTATATTGAGTATTGGTAAGGTCAGACTTCGCGGAACTTTCCGGCTCCATTGGTGGTTAGTTTTACACTCGTCCGTTCAGTAGTAAGTTTCACAGGACAGGGAAAAGTGGGCAATTTCAAAAAGAGGTCCCAAGGCGGTAAAAGCGTAAGCGGAAGAACAACACATGCAGAATATATTAGTAACCGTGGCCTGCAGCAGTCGATAACGGTACTTTTGAATCATCAGTTAACGAGTTACCAATATGTCTATATACACTGTCAGTAAAAAGTTATGGTGAAATTCAATGGATAAAAAAAGATGAACACATCAATGTATTGAGTGGTTGGGATAAGCTTCCGAATCCAATCCATAGCTATACTTTTACAGGAGGACCAGACTACTGCAGGTTAAAGTGTAATCTTGATGCCGCCTAACGCTCAGCTGTCCGATTTTTATCGTCCTTTATACATGATATGATGGTACTCAGATCAGCCCTAGGAATTCCTTGAAAGAACACCAGATAAAAGAATGTTCCAAGAGTGCATCTGCTGGAAGCGTCGGTACAATATATTACGGCGGTTGCACCCAGATCTTGCAGAAAGTAAAAGTCACGTTTAGTCCGTCACAAATCGTGACTTTGAAAATGCGTTCCTTCTAGCACACAGCCATAGTTTTTGAAAATTTACTCATCAATCAAGATAGTCTACTTCAGATTCAGTGCTGACGGGGTCTTCCTTGGACGATCTCTAGATCGTTTCTATCATTAGTGAATATCCTTCTAATATGTCTGGATTTGTCTCTCTGCGACATTCACATTAGTATTAGGGCATCAATGTTACATCTTTTGGACGTCTTATGTTTGGTGCTGCCAAGTGAACATATACTAAAGCATATCAGACAGGCTTAATGCAAAGTAGATCTTGTCTCATGTCATCAACCAATCATGGAGTCAGAAATCAACCTGACTAATTCCCAGTGGGATTGGATTAGTTTAGTCCCTTGATTCCAAGTTATGCAAAGCGCCCACTAACAGCATGTTCGATAAACGGGACGTTTATGAGTCACCCTTACAGACCAGAGTAGAAAAAAGCAACCTAGATCAGCTGGTGCTATTCGCTTGGATACAAAGACGGATGCAGATGGCTCTTCTGCCATTTTGGTTAGCAAATACTTGGGTGTTGGATACCACGAACTCTGCGCGCATCCCGTGCTTCAAACGTGCTTAGTGTGGATTAGGTAGGCCGTCGTGGATGAATTTAACTCCCAGGACAAACTTTAATATTTGTGCGCGTTTTCTTAGTTTCTGGCACAATTGGTACCGAACATAATCGTTCAGCTGAAACAAAGTTTCGGTGCACAACTGTCGTGCCACCCGAAAGGAGCACGAGGGCTGAGTTGCGGCTGGGTTACTCAAGCCTAGATAGAGTCTGTCAAGATACAAAGTTCGGACACGAATCACGGACCTTCCGACCACGTTCACGCTTTAACCACTGAGTTATCTCAACCTGTCCATAGGGTGTACTTCGACAAAAACGATACCACTTTGGTGGCAAATGAGTCATCTGATTTAGATTAGAATAAGGCCGAAAGGTACGGAGTTGTCAGAGTGCCATTAGTACAGTTGCTGAAAGTTCCCGAAATATCTGCGACCGACTGGAAATTGCAAGGCGTCCGTGGAACCACCTGGCTGGTGTGGAGTAACAACGGTGTCAGGACAAGAGAGCTGTGCAAATGCAAATTCTACAAATCCCGGTAAGTTACGTTTCACGACCTCATTGAGAAATGGTGAACAGTGATCGACCCAACTGGGGTTTGGCTGGACGTACCAAAGACACCATAACAAACAATCGCTCGCGATCTGCTAGCTTGCATTAAGCAACTGTGATATAAGAAGCAGTGCTCACAAGAAAACTGTCGGAATAATTGGTGCACATTTGCTACCCAAACACCATTACTCTCTCTTGGGCGAGATGGCCCAAGTGGTTAGAGCGCGAATTTACTGACCGGAAGGTCCGTGGTTCGAATCCGACCGCCGCCACTCGACTTCCCCTGTCTAGGTTTGGGCAACCTGGCAGTATCCCAGCCCTCGTGCCTCCTTCGGGTGGCATGGCAGCTAGGGACCGGAATGGTGCTACAGCTGAACGCTACTCTACTCTCTCCACTGAACAGTCGTATATCGTTAGTTTATGACCATGCTTCAAGCGTGCGCTTTCCTGAGAACTCCACGAGAGTTTTCAGTGCCAAGATCCGGCTTTCTCTGTTAAGCCTCTCCTTCCGGTGAGTTTGTAGATCCTAGTTACTGAGATGGGGGAATGTGCAGATTGGATAGATTGTGAACTGGGAAGCAGACTAGATGTCTGACAAGGGCAGGGTTGCCCGGACTATAGTGAAAATTGCACCGGTTGTAGTGCAGACTAACCTTACAGGGGTGGTGCACCAGTTACCAGGTCGCTAAGTATGTACTGATGCTGATTAAGAGGAAATTCCGAGCATAGTTCCCACAGTTCTTCAATTTATTCGACAAATACACGAGCAACGATAAAACTCGGCACCACCAACCCAAAACATCCGAACAATAACTAATGTCCGATAACCAGGATAGTCTTTGACTTACCGTAACAAAAACATAGTGTCTCGAGCGCGCGTCCTTGTAGCGTTGTGCTGTACGGTCACCAGTATGGTGACGTACACAAATTACAAACTAGTTGGGTTCAGATCTGTGATGATTGGATGGAACCTGATTTCTGGACAATCCTGTTTTCTGAGGTTTATTCTTGGGCATCTGAGCAATGCGATCCATTCGTCACTAGGGGGTCGTGACTACGTACGTACACGTATTAGCCGCCTATACTGCTGTTCGGCGGCAAGCAGTGAGTTGACTCCAAGCCAGCGTCTTATGTATAGCTCCGTGAGCCCGATTTAGTGCAGGCATACCGACGCACCCGACACGCGGAATCACACCACACCCAGGCACTGTTGTTGGCCTTAGAGGGCATACGGGGTCAAGCTGTCCTTTCATCAGCATGTCGTTGCGTCGCATATCTTATTCGGCGTGTGCTGATTGGTTGAACATTTTTGGCGAAGGAGATTTGGCGGTGACGCTCCGTGTGCATGACTTTCAGGCCACAGCTGATGACCTAGCTTTTTGATACGGCTGGACCAATCCAATTCTTACTGGTTGATATGTTAGCCTTGGCCTTGACGCAGACATGCTGAGGAGCGTGTGAGAGACAGCAAAAGGTTTCTTTTGCTAGCCGGTCTGTGCGCCGTACCACGGCTTCGCATGCTGAGCTCATGGCGTGACTGGGACGAGACCCAGGGCCTCCATATGGTTGCGACCAGTCGCGTCTACTCGTAGGAGTGAGGTTTGTCCGTCAACGGCCGCGCACTTCTGACATTGCATCCATTATGCGACCAACCTATTTTTCTATGGGATGGAACAGATTTGAGAATGGTTATAGATTATCTGACGGCACTGCTTCTTTGGAGGTAGTGGAAATGTTTGGGTTTTCAGGTGCGCCGAAAGGCTGCGAATTACTGTGAAATCGACCCATCTTTTCGGGACACGGCGTGTATCTCACGAGCCGGTAAAGGGAATTTAGACCCGTAATCTCGCATTCTGCCATCCAGCTACTTGTGTCTAATCAGTGGTATGCCTTGTGATGGGACAGTGTGTGACGCCACACGCATCGCCAACACAATTCACACCACGCATTTTGACATCCACTCTCTTACTTACACGGTGAAACCCAGAATTAGAGATTAGTTATCATCAACATGACACTACGGATGAATATATGAACATTGGTGTCTTTGAGATGCAAAGTGGGGATTGCAGGGGGAGAAATTCTACGAAATTTCACCCATGTCTGTAACATGCGGGCAACTGCTCAGCAGTGAGAAAAGTGAGGTGAGGTGTGGTCCACATGAGTGCAGTTCAGTCACACAGTGCTCGCTCCCTTGCATCTCCAAAACGCAACAGGTTCGGATAGCATCATTTGAAACGGTCATCCTTTTGACCAAAAGTGGATGAGTTTTTGTTGTTTTCCGCAGAATACAAGAAACGGGGAGGAATAGAGGCATCAAGGCTTTTGAGCTACTTACCCATATTCATCCTGTAACTAGATTCTGTGGGACTATCGGACTGAAAGCGCTAACCAAGAACTACAGCCAATAAATCGCACGAAGGTGCCTCCCGGCTCCTAACTGGGCCGTCCTAGTTTCCGCAAGCCACCTGTGGGTATTCTAAGTCGTCGAAATTTGTGTTTGCCCTGTGGGATAGCCCGTGTAGTGGCGTAAATTGTCTGTGGGAAGTTCAGGGTCACGATACCGAACCGGCCGTGTCAATGACCACAACTGTGTTTACGCGTTTAGAGTGCCATCGACATTATCGCTGTTGCCTAACGCCTTACACTCATCGATGATGTAAAATAAACCTACTTAATGGACATTCTAGCACAAAGAACTCTGGTGAGCAAAACTCATCCAAAAGAGGACGGATAAAATACTCGATGCAAAAAATCGATCAATAGTGCAATGCATACACAGGATCGATACGTCTTGCGCGAGTGACTGTCAGTTCATGTGATTACGTGAGTAGTAGTAACGAGTAAAAATCCCACTCTGTTAAGTGAGTTTTAACTGATCCAAACGCGCACGGTAAAGAACAGGCTTCCAGAGCCTTAAACCACTATCCGTAAATGCTTTTTATCACTGGGCTCATGGAGGCCTCTGATAACTATCGATCACCGGCGAGCCTATGTGGACTTCGCCAACCATGTCCGCCAAACCAGCATTCCGTTTGTCTGGCTCGCGCACCCTGTGCGGCGTTCCTGAGTCGGTCGGACGTGCCCTGCTCTCAAGTTGGCCCGACTTCGTTACACCGGATTATTCTGTCCGAGGGACGGCAGGACTGAGGTCGTGATTCACACATGCCTCTCACACCCACAAGTCCAAGGAGAGTGACGTCGATCGTTTCCCGTACAGTAACGGGCGTCAAACGCAGGTGTGAATGTATGGATGTACGGGTTGGATAGTCCGGAAACTCAGGGAAACGCTCGGGCTTTGAGGGTGCGACGGAGGTCCAGCGGACTGAACCGTAGATAAGTATCAATATGTTATAGCCGAGGCTTCCCAACAGAGCCTTCTCTAACTTCTACTATGGGATAGTCTTGTGGACGGTGAAAACTCCCTTAAAAAGAACTGTTTGTCATACTGCATGTGTTATAGAAGATGGCCATCATATGCAGTGTATCAGCTTTACTACTATTATTGTTGTCATTAGAATCTGAGCTGCTTGCATTTTTACTCGCCCGTAACTCTGAGGAAAGTGTTCCCTTAACCCTCTCCACACATATAACCATTTAGGTTGTTACCCAGGGATAATTTCGTTTGGTGGACTACTGTTGTACTGGGACAACTAGATGCGGTCAGTTTTAACAGAAAACACTTGAGAGTAGGATATGAAATGCATTGAGTTTATGCACTGCTGGTATTACAGACATAGCTACCCGACTTCATAGATCAGATGACAAGTTCGGCTGAAACCAGCCAGGCCCTGAAAATTCCGACAAAAAAATGGAATTCCGGGCTCACTGCCGTAGAATCCCAGAATCATTGAGGTGAAACTTTCGTGATAGAGGAAAATGTGAGTCCAAAGTACAAGGATCTCTCCATATATATCTGTCTGTGCTTTTATGTAGCACCGCTAGGCCCCGAACAGTTGTAAAAATCGCACCAGGTGTCAATGCGATCAATCGGACCTTTTCAAGCCTATTTGACGCTGTAGCAACACCGCACAATTTGGAAAAGCCAAGTTTTTTCGCGTTCCTATGGCGTAAATAGTTTTCATTGGTCTTGCTACCTTCCCAGGCCAACTGACGCACATGCATATGACAGCGGCGGCAATGTAGGTTCTGGCAGAACCTAAAACGTAACCATGTTTCATGTGGTCTGTGATGTAAGATTAGGCGATCGTTAATCACCCCAAATTCATCCGCCACTAGCTGTAGGGAATCCGGACTAAAATACAGCTGAACAGGGAAACAGTAACCTGGATTTGCCGTGAGTACTGGTCACATGATCACTGTGTTGTAAAATCTGACTCAACACTACGGTCCATAGTTTGTAGTATTTACAGAGCTAAGTTAAACTTGTAGCTAGCATGCTGTAAACTAACAACCAGCACTAATACTTCAGCAGAGCATGCGCGATAGGCTATTCATTCATTTCTATACCAAGTCGAGGAGACCCAAATAAGTTGACTGGTGAGTAAATTAAACTTATCGACCGTGAGTGTACAGCGAAATCAATGACACCCTTTGCTGTGCACAACGGACTGGGATCAGACTCGATGCCTGTCGTAATTTTGACGAAACTTGGGTTTAGAGGACTAGCTTATTTCTAGATGGATTCCGTTCACAGATGCATGGTTGGAACACTTACTTATCGTCTAGGGTGTGAATCTGTTGAGCTTTATCTGGGAAGGGTTTCAAAAACTGACGTTTCAGGAGATCACCTATGAATGTTCTATGGGAATAAGTGTCGGATTTCTACTTTTGAAATCAGTGAAATTTAATGGGAGACAAAGAACAAACAAACAGACTGGTGTACGGTTAGTGACCAAAATTCATTCATTGTCCTTATGGGTAGTACGAGTAAAACGTCATAAGCGTAGGAACTCACGCCTAAACGTGTGTGTTTATGTCGTAGCTAAAATATCGTAGCCAGTCACACTGTACTAACTACGACTCGCAATTTCTCAAATGCCTTGGCTCAATGCAAACGCCTTTTATAGGTTTCGTATTATTAATACTGTTTAGTTGGCATAAAAACCCAAACGCAGTTGATTGACAAACATGTACTGTAATTTTCAGGAGGACGGAAAGTATGCGTGTATCTGAGTGAGCCGTGGAGGAAAGGAGTAAGGTAAACCAACTGTGTTTCACCAATAAGGTCACCTACGGGCACGGCGGGGTTGGGCTCAAAAGAATTTCCGACAATGTCTCAGTGAATGGACTCGCAAAGAAATAAAACAGGGCACTTGTGAGGCGGTTAACGTAGCCACCGGTTTCACTATGAGTGGAGCATTCTCAAGCAACCCCCTTTAAACGGCCATATACTTTTCATATCAGTGGACTTTCCTAGTCTTCAGATAACCAGTTTAGCAACCGAGTGGCAGACTACTATAGAAAAGCTTAGTCTCAATTAAGTAATGTTAATTGCTCAGCTCGTTGACTGCACAGCTTTGCGCACGAATCATTTTGAATATCCGTCCTGCGAAAATGTGTTCGAAAAAATTTAGTCCCTCTTGTACATCGTTGGAAGAACGTACCTGAATTGCCACCTGAGTCAAGCATCTAACTGAAGTTCGCGTTTGCTACAACCAAGAAAGACTGTAAAAGTTGATACATTGGCTCCCAAGTTTGTTTTCCGTTTGTTATTCATACTATCAATGTCCATAAACTTTAAGTGTCTTCTGCTCTCGAGTTCCACGGTGAACTGGATACCAGTAGAAAGTGGTTTGAGAAACTGTTTGACTCTGGACAGAAAAATGGGATATGAACTATTCCTACTCGGGTCAGAATGACCCGAGTACTTATAGTTCGTGAACACAGTAAAATGCCCGAAAAACACAACTGACCCTCAAAGCACATGAAGAGCTCAAACAACTTATTTACTTACTTTTGTTAATCTCCTCAAACTAATCGATAAAATTCGGGCCTCAAAATGGTTTCGCGCGCGTGGTTTTGCGCGCGTGCCACATGAGAACTTGAGAAGAACAGTACCATCATACTACCCAGCAGCGCTTTTGCTCCTTTACATATGATATCAAGGTCAATATTCAGGCTCTCAATGAGGATAAGCATCAGGAATGAGAACAACCATAATCCGGCCCTATTCGTTATCGGTAGTTTGACGTAACCAAGCTCACTACAATAAAACAGTAGGTCAACTGAACATGAATTGACTGATTCCAAGTGTCCCTTGCTTTCACCAGAATGCAGACCCAATCGTGCTTGCCAAAGCGAGACATTGGGAAGATCCTGGAGACAGTCCCCTTGATTGAGCCGATGGTGATAAAATGTCACAGAAAACCCAAAAAATGCTGAAAGGACAAATATGACCAATTCACCCTGGAAAGATCAAAACAAATGTACGCAGAAAAATACGAATCCTAGGTGTCCCCCTTGGGTAAGAGCCTCCACAGACTGAGGGTTTACAGGAATATGTCGTGCATATCAATGCTATCTTTTGCAGCCACCTTTTCTGCTACCTCTGTGAAATGTGTTGGTGTATCATGTCTCGCCAAGGATGGAAGTGAGGTTATGCGTCCAAGTATTAGAAGGTTTTTTGAAAAAAGACTACAAGAAGTGCCTACGGCTAATGTCATTGCCGGTTGCTTGTAGATGCCAAAAAATTAAATATATTTTGCCACAACTAATGACGTGTCACACAAGGAGAAGCGTGGATCCTTAAAAACCATAAGAATAGTTTTGGGTCGAGAACAGACCCTCAGCAAAAGTACCGGCAAAATATCCATCCTCATTATAGAAGCGGATTGCCGAGGGCTTCTCTCTGTTGGACGATTGAAACAACCAAACGCCATACTTGTTTATCAACAGAATCCCACAAGAAAATGCGGTCATGCTTGCTGAGATTTGACGACTTAACTTCCCTGGGAGTTGCCTTACGAGTTTTGAGCATTGTCCTCACCAGGGGACGTTTCTCAATTTGTAAGTTGCAGTTGAAATGGCGTTACACTGTGTATGAAGCAGTCAAGTCGTCGACGACAGTAGGTGTTCTGATATATAAAGGTACCTCTATTACTCCTTTTCGGCAGCGCACAACATACATTTATTTGGATTAGGTTAACCAGCAACCAAAAGAGGTGGGGTGACTCAAGGGTATGCGTTGTTGGTTGACGGTCAAACGGAATCCAGACAGAAGCAAAAATAGTCAGCTAGTTGTGCGAAATTTGAATTCCACACGAATAAGAGTTAGCGGATCCGCTGTTCGTATAATCGAACCAAAAATGCTTTGTGATCAGAAAAAATCGATCGCTCTGCGGTACTTTAGCATTCCAAAATCGTCACTTTACACAAAATAAAGGAAGCACTATTGTTCCCACAAATGCGTCGTTTACTCTGGTGCACGGCATCGGTTCTCAAAGCAACAACTAACTTGATTCAACACAGTATGTCAAATGTAGTTTTCGATGCGTCGAATACCATCAGCAGGGTGCGTATTAGATCGTAGCCTTTTTTACAACCCACACCGAATACGAAAAACGTTCTTATCGGATATCCATCCAACTAGTCGTTGCGTTCGAAACTCTTTTTAGTCAAACGCAACCACCAACTGTTGAGGTCAACACCAGCGCACGCTGAAGCCTGAGGCGCATCTTTTCTCCCAAACCCATAGGTGTTACATATTTCACGATAAGTTTCGTGCACGTACCGAAGACGCCACTGGTCACTTCGATCTCACAAGATCAGTGTCGAAGACTCGTCACAGTGAACCGTGAAAGCAGGTAGGCGGGCCGCTGTGCAAGCCGAGAGATTAGCTCATTTCTCCAGGCCGAACACACGACGAGGCAGAACGCACGCACATCGGTGCTAGCTTGGTTCACCAATTCGAGCTTGCATGACGTAACGATGACGCAGTTCACGCAATGCACAAATTGTGCGACAGATTGAGCTGAGAAGATATATCCAGGTTAAGACAGAAGACACTTACAAATTTTTAACCAGAGCAAGGTTTCACCAAGATGAGTTTAAAAAATTTAGCAACGATAGTATCGTTCGCAAGTACGAGTAGATCATCAGAGAAAGCGGAAAGCTCGTATGGTTTCGTATGGTTCGTATGGTTTCTGGCTATTTATTTTCATTATGGTTTTTTGTTTAGCCTTAAGTGAGACGGTGTCTATAAGAACTTATTATGAGTACAGTACGTTCTCTATCGACCAGTAATATGGACCGGATCCACTCACGGTCAAATATGTGATGTCTCCTAATGCCAGAGATAGCTGATGGGACGCCATCAATGACGCTATGGCGAGAATCAGTTTGTGGATCTCACAGCAGTAATTCACAGTGTTGGTAACAATATCGCTGAGCGAGACACCATTCCAAGGCCCCTGTAACTTAACCTGTGCTTATTACTTGGTAACCTTGCATCAATAAAATTTCCAGCCGCGCATCTTCGCACATGTGGAAGTGTTGTTAGTTGTTTAAAAGGAAGTTTTAGTCGGTTGTGAAGGACAGTCAACCAGGTTTGTCTTTCTGCGAAGAGGATCAGCTTCCCGAATTTGGTCTGAGTTGTGTTTATTGTGTACTCTGAACCAACACATCCTTCTGCGAGGTACGGCCGTCATACATGTATTGCGCTTGATTACGCTCGGGGTCCCCCTCGATTAGGGGACGAGAAGCTAGAACCATGATAAATCCTGCCGGCTGGTCCTGTGTTTTTAATTAATTCGCATTGCATTATGTTTGGTCGCGGTGTCTGATGCATTAGACCTCTCCTGCGGGAATCTGATACAACGGTTACTCAAAGATTTTACTTGAAAGTCTGGTGTCAATTCATCCCGACTGCGATCCAGAGTCTAATGCTGAGGAAGCCCTGCCTTTATTACTCTGCACTCTTCTACTAATGTTGTCTCAGATGAAGTGGATGATTAGCGAGCTTCATCTGTGTTTTCGTCAGCGTCTTCTCTGAGGACACATTGGGTTTCATTCCATCCATCCGCGCGATGCACTTGGATAGTTTGGGGATCTGAAATACGTCTAAAATAGCCCTTGAACTCGTATGAACCCACCATCTGTTGCACGACGCAAGTGACTCATACCCAAAGCACCTTTCTTATATGCGCCTAATCGTCATTTACACATAAAAAAGAGCAAATGCTTTTCAGGCACTTTTTCAAGTTTTCTTCAGAGAGCTAAAGAAAGCATGGTCATCTGAACGACAAAGTACCGTGGTCGAAATTACATACACGACTTTATTAATCACCTCAGAATCGGCCAGCTCACCGTTCAGTTTACTAGAACCGACGGAGGAAGAAAAGCGATGACTGACCTTCAGCGACTGCATCTTTGAGCTGATCATGTAAAAATTGCTGGTGCGCCGTTTACAAGCCGTAAATACCATGCTTCAAAGCTTCGATGTCGACCAACGTATCGGTGTTAACTGCGAGAGGAGATTACATCTGCATGTTCTGTTGGCATCAACAATGAAAATCGACACTCGGAATAGAAGCTTATGACTCGAGAGCCAAAAATTTTCTTCTAAGGAATCAATGAAGGCGTCAGCATAAAAATTAGGGAACACTTGGTAAGACCTGGAAGAGCTACTTGTTGCTGACTGCTCCCAGCTGTGGGCGGTTAATCTTCCTCAGTTCAAAGATTTCAAATAGCAGCCATTAGGCTGGTGAAATTTTTGGTATTTTTTTGGGCGCCTCCCAATGTCCTCGGACCCAAGAGTAATCGAAGAATACAGGGATACAGCATAAGATAAGGTTGTTTGCTGTTATCGAATGCGCATTTATGGCAAACAGCCCTTGGGCTCTGGAAACATCCTTGGCTACATACCATAAAATACCTAAATAGTTGCCAATTTCCACCACCACCTGCTATGATGAAGCCATCCTCAAAATATCGGTCGAACAGTTCCATTTGCACTCTTCTGACGTCTGGAACAGTGGTATTTGAAAGCGGAACATTGGTCGCGTTTTTAACTCATACCTTCAAAACCCACGTCGGTGTATTGTGGAACCCAATTCTTTTCTTTTCTAACCGGTGATGTGTTCAATTCGTTGTGACAACAAAAGCTTAGAAGAAATTTCCCACAAAATTAGGGACCCCACTATGTATGCATATATGTATACTTACATCTGCATATGAAATTCTTATTGACAGTGTTCAGTTTTCCAAGATAAAGGGTCCCGAATTTGACCAGTTCAGATGCAAACCTGCCTTTGGACAACAGTACCAATCGGCGAACGGATGAAACAAAAACAGGAAGCGGCGCGGCAACCAGAACTCGATAAGTAGATCGACGGTAAGCACTGAAAATGAGCGACACCCCTTATTTAAATTTTCTCCAGCTGATAAGAGCAGTACGAACAGATGTCTCTGAGTTCACATCATAATTCACAGTAATTTTGATTTTGTAAAATGCAAGTGAGCTCTTTTATCCAGGATCCCATTTTTTGCATGTAGATTATTGTAAAAATAAACGTTATTCGATGATGAATATCGCAAAACCTGTTAACATATATAACTCTTGTGAAAACCACAGTACAAAAAGTTTGTATTTTCAGTCCATACAGCGAGATTTTCATATTGGAAATTGAACT